AAGGGCGCGGAAAACCACAGGGGCGCCGAGAACCAACGAGGCGACGAACACCAAAAGGGCACCGAAAACAAAAGATGCGCCAAACATCAAAAAAGGCACCGAAAATCAAAGGGCGCCAAAAACCGACAGAGCGCCGAAAGCCGAAGGGCGCCCAAAACCAAAAGGGCGCCGAAAATCAAAGAGCGCTGAACATCAAAAGGGCGGCAAAAACGAAAAAGGGGTCGAACATGAAAAAGGCGCCGCAAAACAGAAGGGCGCCGAAAACCAAAGAACGGCTGGAACCCAAGAGGGCGCCAAAACCAACGATGCGCCGAAACCAAGGGGTGCGCAGAAAACCAAGAAAGGGGCGTCAGAAACCAAAGTAGCGCCGAAAACAAAAGGGCCGCCGACAACCAAAGGAGCGCCGAAAACCAAACTTAGCCCGAGGCCCAAGGGGCGCCGAAAACCAAACAGGCGCCAAAAACCAAAGAGACGCCGAAAACCACAAGTACGCAGCAAACCAAGGAGGCGCAGGAAACCAAAAAAAGAAAGGTAGCGAGGAGGACAGAGGGGGATAGAGGGAGGATAGAGCAGGATAGAGAAGGATAGAGGAGGATAGAGGAGGATAAAGGAGGATAGAGGAGGAGGAAAGGAGGGCCGCCCGTGAGGAGTTTGCGGGGGGCACAAGCCCACGACTACGACGACAATGCGAAGACGAAAACTGCGACAAGAAACGACGGCGGAAACCCCCGCGGACAGGCAGCGGCTGCAGATGAATGGTTCCGCCGTCTGGGACGCCCCCAGGGCGGCTCCTCGTGCTCCCGGCTCGTCCTGCTCCTCCTCCTCCTCCTGGCCGTAGCCATTTTGGCTCAGTTTTGGCCGCAGCCATTTTGACTCAGCCTGCTGGCCCTTTCTCGGGCTGGCCATCATGAGTCACAGACGACGTGGCCCTTTACCCTAACTCCCCCATGTGACGAAAAGTGGTGCTTTGGGGTGCCGCGCCAGCCGTGGCTTCGTCCACAGCCTCTAGCGGTAGCTAAAGCAAGGAGTTCGGCTTCGTGGGCTGCGGTTTCTGTACTTACCCAACGTGGGCATCACCGTCACGCATCGTGTACTGTGAATGTTGATGCACGCGGCATGGATGAACAATGCGCAAATATGTAGTTCAATGCATGTATAAAGACCCGGACTCCGAACGTTACAGGATCTTGGGCAAAGGCGAAACAAAACTAAAGGTCGTCAACACAGTTTTACTGCGCTTCTTGTTGCGGGTGCTGGATGGGCCGCTTTTGAGCAGGTCGTTCTTGTTTGGGCCTTCTACCTGTGCATCTCCGGCTCGGTCCGTCTCGGGTGCGGGGCCCATGGGGGGAGCCTGGTAGGGCACTAACCCAACCGCCCGCGCCCGACCGTACTATCTCAAGGTGTTTTGTTTTGCAGCCTCTCATACTCCTGCAGCCCATGCTCGTTATGATTCATATTATGGTGCAAGACGTTTCAATTCGTATGTTCTTTCGGGTTCGGCTTACTATATCATCTGGTCATTCGATGTTGATCATGTATCTTAAAATCAATTCAATGTTCGGGGGTATTGACTAGGGATGCCCGACGTCGGGTTGATGATCAAGTGTTGGGAGTGGTCGGGCCAGGCAGTGTGCTTCAATCGTGGTCGTTTACTCAAGTCGGTCATGTACGGCTGGGGGAAAGGAAAGATCATTCAGTTGGGGTGCGTGCGGGCAATGTCCAAGCTGTATTTATGTTGTGTTTCGTGCTGTTCGGAGATATTCATTTGAGGTATCAATTGTGTTCCTCTGACTTTCTGCGTGTTTTCTCCGCATACGCGGGTGGTGTGGGCTTTATTGTAGCACGCTTCGCGTCTGACCTTTTATCACTACGTGATGGCGGGAATCCTGGAAATCCTCCTCCTCCTCCTGCTCCTCGTCCTCCCAGCACCCGCGCACTCAGGAGGAGGGAGTGGATGAGGACAACGAGGCAGGAGGAGACACGAGGAGAGGCTCCTTTTCCCGACGGCTGCAGGGGCCTACCTCTTCCGCCCCCCCCCCCCCTCTCCGCAGAGAAGAGCAGACGCTGGCGGCGGCAGTGGAGCGGGACGCCGCCCCAGCAGGCCTTGACGGCGTCCGCCATGGCCTCGAGGGCCTCGGCCTGCTGCCGGAGCACGTCCGTGGCCTCCTCGTGCCCCGGGGCGGGGCGGAGGGGGACGGCAGGGACACGACCTGTGAGGAACATCCCGCGCGCTACTGGCATGAAACTGCGCGGGGGAGAAGCCAACGGCACAAACACGCAAACGTTCGGAGCTCGGCGCGAATGTCTTGGATCGGCGCTGAAGCCCCTCCCTGGCGTGCGGAGCGCGCAAAGGGTGGCGCCAGAGGCGCCCCCAAGGGGGTCCCGCGCAGATCCAAGAAATGTGCGCGGACCTCTGGAAGTAGATGTGTATGCTCCATGTCTATCGCTTAGGAATTCAATCCGATCCCTCGATCCTCGCACCTCTATCCTCGACCTCTCGATCCTACGATCCCTGGACTGCCAGCGTCTCCAATTCCTGGGCCGCGAAGCAGAATCCGAGCCATCGGGCTCCGATCCCTCGATCCTTGATCGTTCGATCCCTGGGGTGTCGAGCCTTGTACCCCGATCCCTCGATCCTCGAACCTTTCTCCACGACCTCTCGATCCTACGATCCCCCAATCCCCCGATCCTCGGCGCAGGCGTTTGGCCGCTGGGCTGGCAGCGCGGGGGCTCCAGGCGCAGGAGGAGGATCAGGGCAGACGGCAGAGCCCTCCATTGAGCGGGCTCGGCATAGTGCGGCGCGCCGAGCCATGCTAAATACTCACAGGAAGTGGCACATGCCTCCTCCCCCTCCTCCTCCTCCTCCTCCTCCTCCTCCTCCTCCTCCTCCTCCTCCTCCTCCTCCTCCTCCTCCTCCTCCTCCTCCCTCCTCCGCCCCTCCCTCCTCCTTCCTCCCTCCTCCTCCTCCTCCTCCTCCTCCTCCTCCTCCTCCTCCCTCCTCCTCCGTCTCCTCATCCTCCCTGCTGCCCTCCTCCTGCCGCTCCTCCTTTTCTTCCTCCTCCTTCTCCTCTTCCTCCTCCTCCTCCTCCCCTCCTCTCCTCCTCCTCCTCCTCCTCCTCCTCCTCCTGCCCCTCCTCCTCCCCCCCCCCTTCGCCGCTCCTCCTCCTCCTCCTCCTCCTCCTCCTCCTCCTCCTCCTCCTCCTTCTCCTCCTCCTCCTCTCCTCCCTCTCCTCCCTCTCCTCCCTCTCCTCCTCTTCCTCCTCCTCCTCCTCCTCCTCTCCTCCTCTCCTCCTGCCCCTCCTCCTCCTCCGCCCCTCCTCCCTCCTGCCCCTCCTCCTCCTCCTCCTCCTCCCCCTCCTCCCTCCTCCCCCTCCTCCTCCTCCTCCTCCTCCTCCTCCTGCTGCTCCTCCTCCTCCTCCTCCTCCTCCTCCTCCTCCTCCTGCACACTCCATCTACTCCTCCTCCCCCTTCTCTCTCTCCTCCTACTCCTCCTGGGCGGGGTGGGAGGGGAAGGAGCGGGGCAGGAAGGATGCGGTGGGCGGAGGAGAAGAGGAACGCCGCGGGAGAAGGGGGATGGGGGAGGGGACTACGGTCATCTCGTATAATTAGGGTGCCCAATAAGGAGGGTGCGCCGCTGGAAAACCCCCAAAGGGGGGGGGAACCCCCCCCCTCCTTTCCTCGATCCGTCGTCGGGGACGCCCCCCCCTTCCCTCGATCCGTCGTCGCCCCCCCCCCCCCCCCCTCTCCCTTTCAAAAGAAAGGGGGGGGGTCCGAACCCCCCTCCCCTCCCCCGCTTTGGCCGCAACCCTCCCCACGCCGACTACGGAACCCGACCCCCGCCACCCCTACCCCTAGTCCTCACCCCAACCCAAACCCCTAATCCTAACCCCAACCACTAGTCCCAGCCCCAAAAGAGCACTCACTATTCATTACTCACTACTGACTACTCGCTATTCGCTAATCACTTCTCACTACCCCCTACTCACTATTCACGACTCGCTACTCACTATCCACTACTCACCACCCACCACCCACTACTCGCTACTCACTACTCCCTACTCACTATTCCCTCCTCCCTACTCACTACTCACTCCTCACTCCTCACTACCCACTACGCACTACTAACTACGAACTATTCACTACTCCCTACTCCCTACTCACTAATCACCACAGGTTACCCACTACCCACTATCCACTACTCACTATTCACTGCTCACTACTCCTTGCCCACAAATCACTACTCACTACCCACTACTCGCTAGTCCCTACTCCCTACACAATACTGACTACACAGTACTCAATGCTCACCACCCGCTAGTCCCATACTCGCTTCTCAATACTCACTACTCACTCCCCCCTACTCACTACTCACTACTCCCTACTCACTAGTCTCGACATGCTCTCGAGTCACTGGTCACAACCCACTAGTCCCTAATCACTACTCACTACCCACTACTCACTACTCACCAATCGCTTCTCGCTACCCACTTTTCGCTATCCACTTCTTACTACTCACTGCTCACTACTCCCTACTACGTACTCCCTACTCCCTACTCACTACTCGCTACTCCCTACTCGTTACTAATCACTATCCACTACTCACTACGCAATACTCGCTCCTCACTACTCACTACTCGCTACTCCCTACTCGCTTCTCACTACTCACTAATAGCTACTCCCTACTCGCTACTCACTACTCACTACGCACTGCCACTACCCACTGCTTTCTATTCATGACTACTCACTACTCACTACGCACTACGTACTACTCAGTACTCACTACTCACTACTCCCTACTCACTACTCGCTACTCTCTACTCACTACTCACTACTCGCTACTCACTTATCACTTCCCTATTCACTACTCGCCACTCACTACTCACTTATCAGTACACACTACTCACTATGCACTACCCACTACTCCTCACCCTACTCCCTACTCCCTACTCGCCACTCACTACCCACTACGCACTACCCAATACTCACTACTCACTACGCACTAACTCTCTACTCACTACTCCCCACTCCCTACTCCCAAATCCGTACTCCCTGCACACCTTCTCCGGCGCAGAAAAGAGAAACGAGAAGGGCCCCCCCTCCCTGGCCCCCTTTCCGGCGCAAAGGGGGGGAGGGGGGGGGTCGGACCCCCCCCCTTTTCCAGCGCCAAAGGGGGGGAGGGGGGGGGTCCGGAACCCCCTTCCCCCTTCAAGATGGGGAGGGGGTTCGGGCCCCACCCCCCTTCAGGGGGGAAAGGGGGGGGGGGTTCTGGACCCCCCCCCCCCGTGTAGGGGGGGAAAGGGGGGGGTTCTGCCCCCCCCCCTTAGTGTATTCAGGGAGATCCACTGGCGTCCCCAATAAGGATGCAAGGACGTTGGAAGGCCATGTCGACACTTTCCAGGCGGGGCGCGGCCAGCGAGAGCGGCCAAGGATGGGCCGAAGGGGAAGATCGCAAGGGTAGCCTTGGACAGTCGCTCATCCTTACTGTGCGGGTTGACTGCGTCATGACATTCATGGACACCTCGCGCGGCAACTCCAGACCAAATTTCCGTTGGATGTGCGTCGGGCTCACGTCGAAGTGTCGTCGGGGCATCGCCGTGCAAACTATTTCGCGCAGCGCGAGGCCTCCAAGACTTTCCTCATAATGAAACAACTCCTGGTAGGCCGTCGCAATACTTGCTCAAGACGGCTTACCCATATCCAGACATGATAAAGCTGGACCAGGTCGGACGAAGCCCAGGATTAAACCGCGGACTTAAGCGGCTTGGAAATACAGGCTGTTGCTTAGCACCTGGTATCACGCACTGGCTCCTGCCGAATTCGCGCTGCGCAATAACATCATTGAAAGGAGGAGGAGGAGGCAGAGGAGAAGGAGGAGGACCAGTGTAAACCCAAGATTAATCGAAGATGTTGGAATCAACCCTCCCCCTAAGCACCCTCGTTGCAAGCCTCGGCCAACATTCATTGCCAGTGAAGGAAGTGCCCCGTTGGGAGACAACATATTGAAGATCCTGAAGCGTGCCAAACCACCATTCTCGGAGCTCCAACGTCAGGAACCAACCTGACTGTTGCGTCTGAACAATCCTGAATCGAGCAATACCACCATTCCTGGGACGTCAACACCGCGAATCAACGTAATTAACAGTTGCGCATCGACAACCCTGATTCGTTCCAACACATGCGATAATGCAAAACCCTTGCAATTGTCCTAATAGAGTGGAAGCGGCGCTAAGAAGAGAACCACCTTTTGAAAAGGGCCCGCCCTTAATCCATGAAACTCTTGCGATTTGGTAAAAAATCTGCGGTTAGCAGCTAAAACGAGAACCCACACTTTGAAAACCGCATGCCCTCAATCCGCGAAACTCTTGCAACTGTTTAGAACGTGTGTGCGCGGCGCTGGGGCGGGAACCACATTTTGAACACCAGCCGCCATCCATCCGTAAAACCACTGCCAAATTGTAAGCGTCAGGATCATCCACCGGGGGCGACGATAGGGGCGAAAAGCGGAGGGGCGGGCGTTACACGTATTCGCCTGGGGGCCTTTTCGAAGACATAGATCATCGGCGAGCCCTGGATACATGTATTGCTCTCCCCTGGGCTATTCGCCCCTATCGTCGCCTCTGAATACACAGTGACGGAGTCTCACGAGAAACGCCCGGCCCGCCTCTTCGACCAGCCTCAGGGTGCGTCAGGGAGGAGCGATGTCTTGGGACAAAGACCAGAGTGCAGGAGGAGAAGGGCGCGATGGAGGGCGGCCTTCCTAGAAGGCCTCCACACCACGCAGTCCCCACCTCCGCCTGATGCAGGCGAGCTTCCGAGAAGGCGCGGGAACTTCTCGAGACAAAAGGCTCTTAGAGACTCTCCTGGGGAAACCGAGAGATGCCGATACCGCTCCTCCCTTCCCCCTCCCGCTCGCCACTGGTCGAGCATCCATTACCCATGCATGATTCGGCTTCGTGCGTGCATTTTCTTGCAAGATGTCCCGAAATACTCCACGATGGTCCGCGCTGAGATGATTACCTACCAGGCCACCCCAACCCAACCCGAAGACCCGCATCTCAGGTTGGGGGGGGTAAGGGTTCCATATATGTTTTCTCGATGTTCCCCGACCCCCCCACTGGAAATGGAGGTCAATTTGAGGCCTTCGGGTTGGGTTGGGGTGGTTTGGTGGGTGGTGAGTTTTCTTGCAAGATGTCCCGAAATACTCCACAATGGTCCGCGCCGAGAGCAATCGCACATGTCCAAGCGACGCCAAGCCCGAGGTGCGTGCTGACCGGAACTTCGGGGCGAATCCAGCCGCAGCGACGAGGGCCCCACAGGAGGCCCGAAACGGCGCAAGCGAGGCGAGAGTGGCGGCACTGGCGTTAGGTAGGGCCTGTCCCCCTACAGGCGGAGCTTGGACGAAAAATTAGAATAAGCAAACAATGCCCCAGAAAATTACCCTGTGACGTACCCAACCCATTTGTATCAATGGAAACGAGGAGTTGGCCGAAACTTGCATGGACAATCAACTTGATGTGTAAGCTACTTGGGACACGTGCCTATGGCATGATGCGCAGGATAACCATACAAGAACGAGGGGCGACAGCTACAGGCTCGAAGAGGACATGGGGAGTCGGGAACGCAGGGCAGGAGAACAACGTGCGGGAAGCCGAACCATCAGCACGGCAGCAGCAGAGGAAGGTGACTGCAGGAGGAGAACAAGGACGAAAGCGGCGTCTAATTTGAGTCTGCGGTGGGTGCCCACTGTGCTGTGCCCCTCAGCAGCCCTCGAAAGTGGCGACAGTTTCACAGATCGCAGCCCCCCAGGGATGGCGATGTCTAATTTGAGTCT